GCTCCAGTGCATTTATTTCATCTTTTAAATATTCCACTAAATCTTTTGTTGTTTTCTTTGACTCCTTTATATGTTCAAATCCAATGGGTCTACAAAATTTTTTGAACCCGGAGTTGTATTGATCCATATATCTTCAAATGAATTTCCGATGCTTGACGATGATGGATTAAGGGAATATGAACGAATTCGTAATGGCACTAATGATGACATAAATACACTTTTGTAGTCTGCTAATGTCCGACTTTTACAAGCTTGTTTGTATTCTGGAAGTGCTGATAAGCCGTCACATCCCCACTTACATATTAAGACAACATCACAGTTATGAATTTTCCTTAGTTGGTCTTCTGAAAAGTCTGACACAATTCTTGATCCTGTGTTTTCGAGCAAAGATGATATATCAATACACGCTTCCACATCATTAACAGCAATAGGTGATGGTAGGATAGTTTGTTTTTTTTTCCAAGATCGCCTTCTATGATGGTAATATATTGTGTCCTTTTTCATGCAGAGCTTTCCTTAATATTTGGTACTTATTTCGACTGAGACCCAGTTCCAACATAAGCGCTATTGCTTCCTCTTCAGTAAAATTTGATTGTGATGTTGGAGTTGGTATACTTTCCACAATTCGCTTAAGTCGTTTTGGTGATGCATTAGGAAGAATAGTTGCAATATGTACGACATCCATAGGTTGGTTTTCCTTTTTCAGCATTTCGTTAAATGTATCAGCAATTTCCTCATTTGAGATTGAAAAAAGTTTTTGTGTGACCCTCTTTTTTTTTTTGACCTTGAACATAAGTCTTCGTATGACTTGCAAGGCGCTCCTGTTGATGTGTTGTAAGTTGAGATTTCCGTAGTAGTTTCCATCCAACTACAAAATTTTAATAGAAATTTCTTTTGATTTCCATCCACAGACTTACTTTTTACATCAAAAAGTTTTAAAAAGTTTTCAATTTTTGATATGCCTGTTTGTCTACTTTTCTACTATATGTAGTTTTTATATAATTTGAAATGTCTTCAATTCTTTCTGGCCCTTTTGAAGATACATTCCATAAAACGGAACACAACTCTTCGTTTAATGTAATCTTCATTGTAGATTTATTAAATATGGTACTTAAAATCTAAGAAGTTTACTTATATACCAATTCTTGTCATTTCCGATACAGGTATTTCAAAGTAAAAAATTACAAATTGTCTACCTATTAACATTTAGGACTATATTACTATAACCTGTAATTCAGTCATTGATATTTCTTATTAGTGAATGAATCGAAATTATCATTACCTGTATACTTTTACCTACATGATCATAAACGAAACAGAACGAAATGCTCTGTCGAAAAAATTTAGGTAAAAAATAGTTATAAATTTTTGAAAATTTAAGCATAATAGGACCTTTCAATTATAAGGATAAGCAAACAAATAGAAAATAGGTAAATATAAGATTTAAATATGTTCTGTCATACTTAATACTAAAATATGAAAAAGATGAAATTAAAGGACACAGGGTTAAATGAACATATTTTTGAATGTAATTGAGATATTGGATTGAAATTTTTTGTAAAGGGTCGAGAATTTCCATATCTAACTAAAAAATGATATTAAGGTATAAATATGGACTAAATTGTTGTAGCTATCTGCGATCCTATTAAAATTTTGATATAAATCATAGTTTTAGAAATTAAACAAATATGTAATATATGACAAAATCTTTATTTATGAACAAAACTCAATGAAATTTTCAACGCTTGTTAAATTTGTCATTTAAAATAAGGAAAATGCAAAAAAAAAATTGAAAAGGTCAAAGGGCATCCCGCAATTCCCAAAAATAGGAATGAAAATCCCAAAAATGGGATTTTTTACTTTTTTGCCCATAGGGTCCACATTTCTTTCAGGGCTGGGAAAATACTTTTGGAGTAAATAGAAAACATATTGAGGTTTCCAAACTGCTTTCAGTTTTCTGATCCCAGCTTTGGGATTTTAGAACATGTCGCCCAAAGTTGAAGTTTTGATAAAAAAATAGGTCACATTCGGAAGGACGCAGTGGCAACATTTCAAAAAATAGGACAAGTTTTTTACGCCAAAGCGTTCTGCGTAAAGATACCTTTTAGAAAACTATAAAATTGTTATATGTTCTTAAAGAAAATTTTATTTTATTAATAAAAGAGTTAAGACACATTTTTGGCAAAAAAACGCCAAAAATCTAAAATTTTTTGAATTTTTAAATTAAAAACGTATATTTTTGGATCAGTAAATGATATTGATCTGAAATTTTTTGTATATTATTGGAAATTTTGTTGTCTAACTAACAAGAAAAAATTGAGTCCATTTGGTCCAAAATTACGCCCGGTATTCAAAAAAGGCGGACCAAGGTATGGTAAATTTTGTATCACTAAATTTTTAAATGCCTATAACTCGGATATTATAAGAGATAAGTAGTATGTCCAAGCATGTTTTTTAAGATCTCGACGAGCGCTTTCACAAAATAAAACAAAAAAATGGCACGAGTTTAAAAATTTTACATGTCGTAGGTACCCTACTTTGAGCCGCCACAGCGCCGTCCCTGGGGCATCTGCAGGGTTCATCTTCAAAACTTAAACTCGAATACTCCTTGGCTACGCTCACGCCAAATTTTATCCAGATCGGATCAGCCGTTTAGAAATGCAAGATTTATTTCCAAAAAATTTCCATTCTGCCCCACTGTGTGCCGCTGCTGGGAAAATTTTTGTTTTATCGTTATTGTTTTTTCGTTTCATGTGTACTCATCCGACCTTCGCTTACAATGTCGGTAGAGTTGGACCCATCGTACAGCCTAAGCCATCGCTGTGTAAATGTAAATTGGAATTGAATACAGACTTTGGATTAGTCGCATCTACATTGTCTTTGGTCTCAGATTGTATATGTATGTGGAAAAAATTCCGCTAGGTATACATAAGTTTGTCATTCCGTGTGTAACACCAAGAAATATTCATCTGAGACCAGCGTTGCCACTGACCAAATTTTAATCCTACCAAATTTTCGTCAAAAAACTACCAAAATCGTTTAAATCCTACCAATTTTTTAAATCATCAAAAACTTTTTTTGAGAAAAGTATGACTTATTTATTTAGGTATTTCGTCCCCTTTTTTCTGAGTTATTTTTTTTAAATTATGAAACGTCCTAGAAAATATGAATTTTCTAATATCTGAATAGTTTTTATATCTTGTACCTAATTTCAATGATTGAAATAATTCGATTAAATTTTCTACATATGATGGTTAAAATCGATCCATAAAGACCCAATAAAAATAGGAAAACTCCCGAAAAATAATTGTAATGTTCAAAAATACGTTGGTTATGGTGCAATTGTGAACAAATTTACCATAACTCAGTTTAAAGTACCCAAGAATCATACTATGAACTACCTGATATAAAATATCCACAAAATAATATTAATATGTATGTACTTATATATAAAATACTAATATATACCTACTTATGTACTTAGGTACAGTTCTTCATATACTAGTTCTGTGTTTCAGAATTTCAGACAACATTTTACACTTATTTCGAACAGCATTTAATGACTAACTGCCTTATGCAAAAACCACTACTAAAGTTAACAATGGTTTTCTAAACACTTTTTGGAGGGTGGAGGGTATTTGAGATTCGGCATAACCGAATATAGCACTCTGACTTGTTTTAAATGAATATTATTCAAGATCATCACAACACCAGCATCGTATTATTAACAAATACATACAATATTTTGTTCATTGTACTTATTTTTTCGTGTGCCCCTTATGTATGAAGCAGAAATAAGGTGTCAGTTTTCCCAACTAAAATTAAAGTTAACTTGATTCTATGATACCATTTCTCAAAATTTTTGCCCTGGCGTTAATATTTGGTGAGCAGGATCAAAAGATATAAAGGTCCTTTTTGGAGGTTTTTATGATTTTGTTCATATTTCTTCCAAAGGAAAGATATGAAATATTGGTATCATTAGAAATGTCCTTGATTTAAATTCCACATCAGTCGAAATTCCTAATCCTTATTTATCCTTTGATCCAGCTCACTAAATATTGACGTCAGGACAAAAATTTTGAGAAATGGTATCTTAGAATGAACTAAATTTTCATTTTCTGTGGGAACATCAGCAACTTGCATTTTGGGGCCACCCTAATGTATTTATATTAATTCCGCAGAAATACATCTAGGCATCTATCGGTTCTCTTGTGCGTTCCTTTACACATACCTAAGGTGTAAATTGAACCCAATTGGCCTCCGGTCTACCAGACTAGAACTTTAACCACCTAGTATATTTGTGTATATAACAAGTATTACATAATATTGTTTACAACACTTGTACAATGTACATATGTACATACAAACAAGTGAGAAAACAATGAATTTTTTTTTTTTTTAATTAGTCAAAACCTTATTTATTTGATTACATTATTTTTGAAGAAATCCCAAAAGGGCCTACTATTTTACACGCTTCACAGTGTAAAATTGGCACTGGCTCCCGTTATCTGATTGGATTAAAATTTAACACCAGTATGTTTCAGACACTGATGAACAAAATATGACCCATCTAAAGAAAAGCAATTTTTTTGGGCACATAGAGCATACATCGGCAGATGAAAAAAAAATCACCACTATACGTACACTATTGGCATTTTTTCAATGAAACTGCGCTGGTCTATACTCTGGACTACCACCGTTTTTATTTTAATGATGATATAATCTAAAAGTATGTAAAAAAAATACAAATATTCATCATTTTTCACACTGATCTTTCTACTTTAAACAGAAGGTTATATTTAAGAAAGACTGTTTTTGAATATGTATAACCGATTTTATTAATAACAAGGACAAGACGTACGAATAAAAATGGAATGATTTACATAAAAATTTTATAAATTTTTTACATTTTGTTATTTTTAGCTTGAAAACAACTTATTTTATTTATGAATCTTGTTATTTTCTTATGTAATATGTATATTATATATATATTATTATAGCATGTAGTTCAGTGTGTAATAGTCGCAGTAAAGACTATCGGAAACATTGTCCTTGTGACATGCCTTCTACAATTCATGTTTGCAGTAATAGGAGTCCAATTGTTTAAGGTATGATTTAAGTTTTTATAAAAATCCTATTTTATTTATAACATTTATTTATAAATATTAATTGTTAATAATTATGTATTTATGGTGACTTAATGAATTCGTAAAGATTTTCGAGCCCTATTTCAACACCAATGAGTTTTTTTTTAATTTTGGTAATAAATACAGAAATGTTCTAATAGTATAATATTTATGTATGTATGTATATACTTACGTATTATGTGTATATGTATTTATACAAAGGAAGTTTAAGAATTTTATTGATATTTGAAAATGAGTTTACAAGATAATACTTTTAAGGTTTTATTTTTAAATAATAATTTTCGCATTTGGGTTTGTACAATGTAATTAATCATGTACATAAAATTATCTTTCTAATATGGTAAAAAAGTTAGTTATTAAATTTTACTAACAATTAATTTTAAACTTTTGCATACTTTAAAAAGAGAATTATTTGTAGATTAACAATTATTATTAAAACTCTAAATACGTAACTTCAGCAACTTCAAACCCCTATATTACAATCATAAACGTGTTTTCAAAATGTGATTCTTCATTTGATTTTTGTATTCTAAAATCTTCGAAAACCCCCTAATGTATACATGTAACGTATTTTAACATATCGAATTATTCTATCGGTATACTTTAAGACCCATATTTTTGTGCGGCAACGCAAACACATAATACCCTCCCCACTATGGTGGTGTAGGGTGTAAAAACAATATACATATCGCACACCCAGTGCGATAGGGAAAGGGAACAGTTTTTTTTTACAAATTCTGAAACATAAAGTCATAACGTTTTTGTTGAACAGTTAACAACAAAATACACTAATATTTTTTTTAGAAAAAATAAGTATTTTGTGCATAGTTTAGTTTCAATTTGAAAGCACATAAAATAGTATAGTAAAAACTAATTTATAGCAAACAAAAATAGTAGAAATTAATTTATAATCAAACCCGATTGTCGCATATGTTGCCGAATTACCCAGTAAATATCTGTCGGATAATAAGACAATCGAGTTTGAATGCTCTATTTCGTATTTTATTTACAATGATGTATTTTAATTAATAATTTTAACACATACATTTTCAAAAAGTTAAATAATCCATTTAATTAAGAAATTCCAAAATAAAATTTCATAATATTAGAACAATTTTAGAAAATAATTTTTGTCAAAGTCAAAGTTCATTTCGGTATAACAGTAAAGTGATTTTAATTCAATTTCGAAAATATGTTACGGAAGTAAAGTGATTATTCCAAATGCCTTTTTATATTTATTGGAAATGTGGTTGCTCAAAAAGACGAACATTTGCCAAACTTTTCTAGAAATTCTTGAACTTGATGCATATCTATTACACCACATTTAAAAGGAATTATTATTATAATAAAATATTACGTCAATAACCGTTTCTCTTTTCATAATATCGATCCAAAAATGCATAATTTAGTATTAAAGGTTTGCTATAAAATTTTTTTAACAAAAAAAAAAAAAAAAAAAACGAAAACTGTATTCCCAACTTTGAATGTGGATATGTCTGCATTTTTGATTTAAGTACATCTCTCATAAGTATTCGAATTTAGGTATACTATGAAAAGAAACCAAATTTAATAAGTTTTTTGTGTGTAAAATAAATAAATAAATTTATTATATTATCTAGGCAGTCCATAGGTTTCATATCACACTTTTTAAAACTTGAAAATCTAGAAAATCTTGAACTTGATGCATATCTATTACACCACATTTAAAAGGATTTATTATTATAATAAAATATTACGTCAATAACAGTTTCTTTTTTCATGATATCGATCCAAAAATACATAATTTAGTATTAAGGGTTTGCTATAAAATTATTTTAACAAAAAAAAAAAACGAAAACTGTATTCCCAACTTTGAATGTGGATATGTCTGCATTTTTGATTTAAGTACATCTCTCATAAGTATTCGAATTTAGGTATACTATGAAAAGAAACCAAATTTAATAAGTTTTTTGTGTGTAAATAGGTTTCATAGGTCCAGGTTTCATATCACACTTTTTAAAACTAGAAAAATTTACATTTACTTAAATTAATTTAGCTTTATTTAAAAGTCCATAAAATTACCTCACAAAACTATTCAAATTTTTCCTGTATTTTACATTTCATCATATTATACGAAACACAAATTTCAGAATCGAATGGTTTTTATGCTTAAAATTGTTTTAAGGGGTTACTATAAACCGAAAGCATTTATTTTTGCCTCATTTAGTCCACAATTTTGTGGGATTAGAAGGGAGACCATACGCCACAATACATATTTTTCTTTTTTTCCTGCTTCGGATACTTTGATATATTGACTTTAGTTTTATCCCTTTCAATCTTTCCTAAGTCATCTTAATGTATATATTTTTTAACTTTTCCGCATTGACCAAAAATAAATACGCCAAGGGGGTGGGACAGATTTGTCATTAGTAAAATTGCTGTTTTATATTTTAATTGTCCTAAAGTTCTTGTAGGCCAGATATACTGGCTGCTAATATTGTGGTGTCGTCAGCATACCGTGTATAATTTATAAATTTATCATTTATATCGTTTATCCTTATACCAATTTTCTCTCTTTTTATTGATTCTCTAAATATTCGTTCTCAATATAAGTGTCGGACAAAACTAAGCACGAACTTTAACTTATTAGAAAAAAGCTTAGTAAAATTAAAAAAAATTATATTTGTATTAAAAATTATTCGTGTAAAAAGAATATAGTCTAGAAATTATAAAAACAATGAAAATAATGTTGTGTTAAACTTAAATACACTATTTTGGATAAATTACATAAATTAGCCAAAATTTACAGCGACAAAACTAAAGCACATAACATTGGATATATTAAATTTTGGGGTTTGTTAGGAAACTGTTATCAAAATTTACTATTAAATAAGTGACTTCATACCATTTTCATAGTAATTTATGATCATTCGCCTTTGAATGCACTTTCCTTAATATTCAAAATGGCTCCTCAGAAGTATTTTTTGCGATTAAAAGAAAAAAATTATGGATTATTTTAATAAATGTCAATCAGTGACACATATTTCTTAAAAAAATAATATTTATCACACTATAATTTCGAAAATATAAGACCACTTTCAATCATCAGGCTTATTGGCTGTAGTGAGGGACCCAGAAAAACCCCTTGTAATAACAAGGTTCATGGCAATTCAATTACTATGAAATATTATGTCTAGATTCATCATTTTTTGATGAATCGAAGCAAAATTAAAATGATTTTGATGAATTAAAGTTAGAATCTAGGCCAGTAGTGTAATTATCGGTATACTGTGGTAAAAATAAAACACGGAGGGGGTAATATTGCGGTCTTTTGATGTTTTCCACGTAATGTGATCGGAGAATTGTATTAATATAAAGTAAATAAATGTAATAAAGCATCGTTTTATGTATGAAAATGTCTTGCACAGTATAAAGCTGTACTATACAGTGGAGATAATGCCTCTAAAATGAAGAGATCAACAGGAAAACGATTATCAGCGGCTTAGATTTTAAGGCGAAATTCTGCAATATACTTTTGATGCTTATTTTAATTTTCTGTAAAGATTGAAGACGTCATGCAGGCTTTACAATATTTCAACACATGCTCCCACATATGATGCAGATAGGGACGAAATCGAAGTATCTTACAACGAAATCGAATAATTACTGAAAATGAAAAAACTCCATGAAATAACTATTATACATGGGCATGAAGAACTTTTGGATGTAACAGGAAAATATGGACTAGGCCAGAGAAATGATAGAGGAGACAGGCTCATAGAATTTTGACAAGATCATAAAATTAAGATAACGAATACCCGATTTAACCTTCACCCGAGCCGACTTTATACATGGAAATCACCGCAGGATATTAGGGAGAATATTGTGAGAAACCAAATTGATTACATAATGATAAACAGACGATATTGTTCTTGTGTAACAAAATGCTCAACAAGAGCAGATGTACCATCAGACCATAGTTTCTTTCTATGTAATGTTCGCATTAAACTTTCTACAACCGAAACTAAACATTGGGAAACTTAGGGATCCACTAACATCCACTGATGAACAAGTATACACAACAGAGATGATGTAGAGAATTTATGGGATAATATTATTTATCATTAACACAACCGCAAATAACATTCTCGGAACCAACAAACCTAGAAGAGAAGAAGATTGGATGACGGCTGAAATACGAGAGCTATGAAAGGAAAGAAGTAAACACAAAAACATTAATCACGAAAAATACTGGGAGATAGCTCAGGAAATATGTAATTCAACACGTGCTGCCAAAACTGCGCAGCTTAATCGACAATGCCAGGAGATCGAAATATTGCATAGCCTGCAAAGAATATGTGAATGCACTATTTACAGATTATAAAAGGTCATATTCAGCGGTTTTCCTGATATTTTAATCATCATGGATGGTTCTATCACATAGTGGAATACATCCTGCGACATATGTGTCTACTTTACTGTCAACAATTATTGCCACGCCTTTTTCGATTTCCCGAGTGGTATATTTTTCGCATTCTTCTAATGTTCCAAGTTCCAATGTAAATTTTCCCTTTCGTTTTACCTCTGGAGATTCTTAGCACCCTGTTTTGCCGGAGACTGAGGGCCGTACGCTTCTTGTTTCCATTAAGTCTCAGCCTCGTTCTCTGTCGTTCATGGCCGGGGACTGCTTATTTTATATTCATAGCTTACCTACACATCTGTAGGTAGTTCATATATACGCCACCTGACGTAGCATGAGTTCAGCGCAATGCTAGACAATATAACAAATAAAATTTTTCATTTTACATACAAAAATTAAATTAAATTTCTTTTCAAAGTAAACCTAAATTCAAATACTTATGTGAGACACTGAACATACATACATATGTACATATTTAGGTGAAGCAATATTTTAACTTATGTATATGTTATTGTATGGACTACAAAAAGCTATTGAAATATTCAGGAAAATAAAAAAATTGCGTAATTGATATAAATTTGTGATATTTTAAATTACACTTCAACTATTTCAGAAGTAAGTATTTATTGGGAAAAATATTGTCAATTCTTTACTTTACTTTTAATTTTATGAATACCAAATTGTGACACTTGATTTATGTGTTAGATATTCAAACTATGATAATTTCAATCAAGTCCCATAAGATTATAAATACTTTATGTAGTAAAAATTATAAATTAATGTTAAATATTATGACTACAAATAGGAATTATATTGAGCTTCTTTAGTGTTATTTGTTTGAGAATACAATGTTCTCTCTAATAACAATGCACATGTTTTGTTTCAAGGTTCTGCATATTTCTCTTAATACAAAGTGTTATTAGATGTCTGTATGAAAACTAAAAGTTTTGTTATTCCTCATAAATTTAAATATGTATGATATAGCGATGGCCGTTCCTGAGCAAAAAAGTTTTTTTTTAACTTTAGTATTTCTTGAATACAATATGGGGCAAGGCGAATTCATATAAGGTGGTGTTATTCAATCAGCTGATAATTTTTTTCTTAATTCGCCTGGTTTACGTAGCAGTCAAAGTTTGTTATTGTTTACATTTTAATATTTAAAAATGTCCGTTAAACGGAGAAAAACTTCGTTAATATTATGAATTATTTATGCAGAAAATCTGGAAATACCCAGCATCTCGTAAACAAATATCATTTTATATAAATAATGGCATAATTGGTATGTATACAAATATGTTATTTAAGAAAAATATTTTTTTCTATTAAATGTTAACATATTACACAATATTGTTTTATATTTTATATTAAAATTGTGTAGATAACGTGATTAACTAAAAAAATCTCTTCGGGAACACTTAATATTAATGAAACGTATATGAAGTATTTACCCGGCTGGCGGCAGCTGACTTCTACGTTATGGCTTAATTTTGAAATCTATTAAATGTTAACAAATTAAACAATATTGTTTTACATATACACTATGTAGATAAAGAGATTAACTTAAAAAAGTCTGTTCCGGAACGCTTTATATAACAAAACCCATATGAGGTATTTACCCGTCCGGCGGCTGCTACATTATGGCCAAATATTGAAAATTACTCCGCCGGAGTAGAATTATTCGTAATATAATATTTTCTTGAATATGTACTTTTTTATGTTTATTTTTCACAAAAAATTAAGTTTTACTTAACTTCAGGCACTCACTTAAATTTTGCAAATTAAGCTGCGGGAATACAATTTTTCGTTTGAAACAAACATTATTCAATTCAGAATATATTTTCCTCACAAATTTTAATATCTTTATCTTTATTTTTTAATATAATATAAACATTTTACAAAAAATTTTCATCAAATGAATTCGCCTTACTTATGGTTTTTGACAAAAACAAAATACATGTAAAATGTTGTTGTTGCTGTTGCCACCACCTTATCTGAATTCGCCTTGATATGGGGCATCATTTGAAAGCGGCGAATTAAAACAAGTACAGTAGGGCCTTGATTATCCGTTATTCGGAAAAATACATTTTTTTGCATCGACTTCATTTTATTTTGGATTGACTTAAATTTTTCTGCATCGTTTAACCGTGATTACCTCTATTATCCGTGATTATAAGCTAAATTAGAACTAATCGAAAAGGATCCCCCTTGAAACGAAATACAAAATTGGAAAATAAGAGACAAATAACATTACATAATTATTTTTAGAAATTACATAACATGAAATCCTTATTTACTGTTTTCTGACAAAATAATTTTTTTTTTTATATTTTTGAAACATGTATGAATATAAAATCCTTGAATTATTTCGTTTTTATATAAATATGTACATATTCATTTATTAATTAATAAAAAAGTCTATTAAAAAACTAGCCAAAATTTATTATACAGAATGCTTTCGGTCCCGACCATCACGGACAATCGAGGTCCCACTGTATATCAAAGCAAATGTCAAATAGCAAAGAACATTTTTTCTGTGAAAATCGATTGCTGCTTTTTATCTGTCAGTACACACTTGTCCACTCAATTCGCAATAAACGAAATGTCTGTTACTTTAAATGTAAACTAACGTAATCGTGTAACAAATTATTTCAAATTATCAAGTATGAAGACATGTTTTATATACATAGATTAAAATATATTTATATAGATTAGAAGTAATTTAAATTAGATATTTAGGCAGTTTTTTTATTAAATCGTATAAACCGTACTCGAATAACAAAATGTGGCTCAATATCCCTATTTTTTGTAATGATTTCTCGTGGGAACCAAAATCAGTTGAAATGATACTGACATAAGTACAAGTTGGCTAATAAATCCTAAATTTGTGTTACCAGGTGATATCAATAATTACAGTAAGTGTAAATAATTGGCTGTTATATGAAATCATCAGGTACCGAAAGATTTATTTTCATTAATCTACAATTTTCTATTCTATTGATGTCATTAACATCATAAGTACATATTTTCAATAACATTACATACAGTAATAGAAGTGGGAAAGCCGGATCAAAAATAAATTACTAGAAATAAAAAAATTATCCAAATTTAAGCTGTGTTATGAAATTAGATATAACGAAGCAAGTTTTATAAGTTTTTAATCATGATTTGTTAGGGGAATGTTTATTTTGTGAGTGTTAAAGATGTCAGTGAGCACATTGCGCTTTATTTACAGTGTAATTGCAGTACAATTTAGTTTGGATTGCATAATTGTCCAAAGGTAAACTTTTTCTTTTCTCTTACATCATAAGGAAACTAAATTATTAATTAATCCAATGTATATATACTAGTAGTTACGTATGAGCGTATGTATGTATTTATATATTATTATTTTAATAAGTGTCTTACTTTTATATCGTATTGCATTTGTATAGTGTAGCTTGTGTGTAAAACATAATAATAATTAATATATATGTATGTATATGTAGTATGTATAACAACCTAAAAATATCCTGTTAATTAACATAAAAATTATTCTCTTTCTCTTTTATCTCTTTTCATATAAAACAAATAAAATAAACACATCAAAAACTTTTAACGCACTTTGAAAACTACACAAAATTTTTTATGTTAATTTCATTATTTTGTAATGATATTTAAAAAATATTTTGCATTTTCTTATTTTGCTTCAATTTTTGTTAATCTTTACTTTTTTAAATAAAAATCTATATGTTGTTAATCACGCTGACACCGACCGAACTTTCCTCACCATCGATGTCAATGTCATTTGTTAAAAATATAATTTTTATAAATTTTGATCGACTTTAAAGTATGTGGTAAAATGCGTTGTGGTAGCAATAAAAACGATAGGAAACATAATGCTGGTTACTTACTTGCTACAGTTTATGTTTGCTGTGATTGGGGTTCAACTTTTCAAGGTAAAAAAAATAAAACGTGAGAAAAAGTAATGCAAGAACACATAGTATGTCGTCTAATATTTAGGCAATTCTGTTTTGACAAAATCACCTTACACTTCGAATAAAACCATAATACTATTATACAATTCCAAATAAACGCATAGTTTATGTTGTATATGGATAACGAAAATGTTTAAAAGTCCTATGGATATTATAAATACATATTGCTATATAAAAACTGCCATAGTAGTAATATGCAATTTTGACATCGCAATGAAAAATAAAATTCCGTTTTTCCAGGAAACCCGTGCCAGTTCAAAAATATCGCAATTAAAAAAAATATATGTTAGAATTGCAACTACTTAAAGTCTAACTTAATTTTTTATTTCATTTTAAAGAAATTTCGTTAAATCTCTGTAAATAAAATAGTTTACTTCAAAAACGTCAAAGGTAAATAATTCAATGTCAAAAACATAAAGCAAACCCTTGATAAAAATTAAAAAAGACATAGAATGTTGAATGTCTCTTCTATATCCGCGCAAAAAATTACGGTGGAGACTCATTTAGTTAACGTTCATTACGTATCAAACAATGATCAATCAGAAAACAAAACGAGCAAGCGTTGCCACTGCCAAATTAATTTTCCTACCAATTCTTCGACATAAAACTTCCAAAACCTTCCACGTTTTAAAAGTTTAAATTAAACATATTTTGTTGCTTAAATGTATTTAATGAAATCGTTATCGGTATAGTCCTTCATATAGTTTTATCTACCATGCGTTGGCAAAAATACAACGGTTAGAGTTCTAAGCTTCCTTAGACTTTAAATATATGTGAGCGTTCCGAATCTAAATCCTTAGATAATAATAACAACACCATAATACCAACAAAAAACGCAAAAGTAGAGCGAAAGGTGAAGGAGATGAGTTATAGCATTGCTAAGCTACCTACAACCAAAAAAGCAGCACATAAGATGCTTCAGGAAATCATAACACGGTACAAAAAATCAATACACTCATCGCAAGACCTAGTGAGTAGATTGCAGTACCATTTTTAGAATCTTCAATATACCCTAAAAATCGAAAGATATTGGAAAAAACGACTTTTTTTGACTTGACAGACTAAATGAATTATATCTGAAAATTTTCTTAACCGATTTAATATTTTTAAACGGTTTGGAAAAGAGTTTCCTTTGTACTCTTCAAAAAGTATACACACCTTTTTCTTTTTTAAGGAAATGTGTAAAATATTTAGATCTAAATAAAAATTTTTATAATTTATAATTTTTTTTACAATTCTAGAAAATTGTTAATTTAAATAATAAAGCTTATATTTGATTTGCATATCTTACGTTTATATTTTATTTTAGCAAAGAGAGATTTGGTAAATTTTTGTTTTTACGAAAAAAAATATATTTTTGTCAGTTTTTTTTATTGATTTCAACATTTCATATCTTAGTTTATTCATAAAAGTGTGAGCTAAAATAAAAAATATGTTTTCAAATAAAGTGTGGGTCAAAAATGATCGTGAATCTTAAAAAAAAATTAAAAAAAAAAAAAAATATAAAAAATTGTATTTAGATCTCAATATTTTACACATTTCCATAAAAAATATAAAAGTGTGTGTACTTTTTGAAAATGTTTAAAAATATCAAATCGGTTAAGAATTTTTTGAGATATAATTAGTCTGTCAAGTAAAAAAAAGGCGTTTTTCTAATATCATTCGATTTTTAGGGTATATTATCGCGTAATGAGTGTTTTAGAGTGTCACACAGTGTAATGGATCAATCCCACGTCACCACAAAAGATACTTCGGATTCTCTTTCAATATCTAAAACAAACAGGATAAGATCTCCTGGGGTGCTGATAACTGATAACAAACCTCAAAAGAAAATCTGTCTTCTAATATACAGTCAAAGCCAAGTCATACATCAATCAAGGGAATATCAAATCAGAGTCCTGGAAATAAGAGTGACAAAACCAAGAAATTTATGCCGTATCGAGCGCGTTGCTGGAAATAACCTCGAAGGTGAGGGAAGAATAAAAAAAGCTAGACAGTGAGAAAGGAAAGGATCTGACATCTTATACCAAAAGAATACATAAGGAATATATCTGCTATGCAATATATAATGCCGGTAATCCGACAAGCAAAATTCCAATTGACCAGCACAGTAAAGTAGAATTGTAATCGCTTTAAAGAGCAAACAATCAATACGGAGCATGAGCTTCGAATTCAGCAGGTGCATAATGTGTTGAAGTGCTGTTTGTTACAACAAGCTCCGACAAGAACCCCGAAATACCTTAGACGGCGCCCACATCATCATAGTAGCCTATCCTTATAAATTTTGGTAGAAGAATTTACGTATACATTCAAGTTATTTATGCAGAATTTAATCATGTTATTAGTGTTTATAATATATAATTATATAATTTTGACCTTCAGGTTATTTCCTGAAGGGGACTTTGTATTGGGGCTAGGGTGAAATGAGGCCCGATCATTACGATAATCCGAAGTATCTTTTAGACTTTTATAAAACTAAGTTTTTCCGATTTCTGTTGATATACTAGAACATTTACCAAAATTATGAGCTCAAAAACTCTATTCGGGGGTAAGGTTGTATGGGGCTAGACAAAATAATGAACCGATTTTAAGCAATTTCCATAGGCCTTGGATCAAAAGAGGAGTATGTGTTAAATTTCCAAATCGAGTCAGAAAGTGATTCTGAGCCGATTGGTATACTTTAAGGCAAGTGTAAGACCATTACAAACATCAGCACAAATGCATAATACTCTCAACACTATGGTGGTGTAGGGTGTAGAAAAAAATATGTAGTATAAAAAAAATATAATATTTAATGTGGAAAACTTCATAAAAAATACATAATATTTTCAGCTTATGCACTTATTATTTAATACGGGCGAGTGCAAACAGAACCAGTTCAGATTCTATAACAGTAACCTTGAAACTAGTAATGTCACCATTAATTGAGGAACCCGTTCTGTGGAAAATTGATTTCATGAAAGAGGACTTCCAAAAAGTATTCAAGAAATCAGTTTTTTGAATATTTCCATTGATACAACACTAGTCCAAAGTTTCAAAACAACTTATTGAAGCCAATAGAAAAATATCACAAATTTATCGAAAGAAAGTTTTTTTATACACCCTGTAACAATTTAAAAAAAAAAAAAGCTTTCACACATAGAAAAGTTGGTATGCATTTGAAACTAGAGTCCATTGTCATTCAGCATACTCCTTTTTTACAATCAGCTCTAATGTCCTTATTAAATGACTTCAAAGTTTCAAGGGCTTACAATTTCAAACGAATATTTAAAATATTTATATGTATTGTATGATGCAAATATTGGTACTTATTTCACTTACTTAGAAAATAAATCCTAAAAGAAATTACATTTAAAAAGGTCTAATTTTCCAAACAAAAAGTTTTAACTACAAATTTTCTTTAAACTTCCATTTCTTTTTTAATCCCGATTAATTGAAAATAATAATACCATTTTGGAGCAGACATTCCAAGCTTTCTTTGATTTTAATAAAAATTTTTTCATATAAATGTTTAATTTCTTCTTTTTCATCGTTTGTCCTTTATGTTCATGTGCAATTTGGATTGGAGTTATACTCAAGATTATTGTCGCCATTGCCTTTTCATCTTTGACTTCCACACTGCAAGTGCTGCCTCATTGCAGCATTATCCTCTGATTTAACGTCATCCGACACCAACGACCACAGCTCTTGGTGTAGCAATACACTCTTCACTTGAATATTCCAAGAATCGTAATTGGAATCATCCAATTTTTCAATATTAAAAAGGGAACTGAAGGAACAAATGTTCCTTCACTTTAATATTATTGATGTTTCTAATACCTGGGCCCATAACCTGGTGTAAGGCACCCTTTTGTACTTTAAATAAGTCTTTAACACACAGTTAATATGAAAGAGATGTTTATTGTTTGGAATTTAGATTACAATTAAAATGGTATGAAATAAAAGAAACTATGTGAAAGGAAACAATGCAAGAACTAAATATATGTGAGTGTATGTGTGAAGTTTAAAAAGTGTTACATTGTATTCAAACAGAGTTGCCATTTCAACAATAACAATTGTCTTGGAATCATTTTCTGCGCGGATTAAGCCATGCTTATCCTTGTTATCAAAGTTTAAACTACCAAAAGATATTTTAAAAATTCGAAAATACCAATTTCGTCCAATTAGACCAAAGTGGCAACGCTGAATGCAAGTATTCTCCATTATATTGTTTTATTATAATCGTATGTATGTACATATATTTGCAAAACTGTATGCTGAACAATAACCTTTTATTGTATTGTATTTATTGTATTGTTACCAAGTACAAGTTTATTATTTTTTGTCTTACAACGGTATTATTCACGAGCTGGTAACGTGCTACATTTGTTTAGTGTTTTTTTTTTTCACTTAGTGTCTTTGGTTCTCTCAACTGTAACTTTTTTGGTTGTGTTGTAAAAAAAGTCAAAATATGTAGTTTTCTCTTACGTTTTAGCTGTACATGCGATTTGAATTCGGCGGGGTTCGGGAAAAGCGCCATTTTTTATATTTAATACCAAGTTCACACGAACAGTTACACTAAATTACAATAGCCAATTAACCCGTTTCTACGACACATTCGTAATACGTTTTGACAGTTCATCGCCATGTTGTTTTTTTAATTAATTAGTTTATTTTTTGGAATACATGTGTGTGGTATGGTATAAAAAATACGTTTTTACATTATTTTAACAAATTAAGTACTATATTTAGTATTTACTTCTATTCTTTTGTAATTTTATTTTTTATTTGTCTACAACAAATGTAAGCAAACAGCTGATTATGATAAATACCCGATAAAAATTAGAGATGGCTCTCATTCATTCGTAATTCGTAGATAATTCTAACTGAATTACGTACAGCTGGCATTTTGTATGGTCAATCTTGTAATTCAGTTTGTAATTGGGGGTTGAATGACGAATAATTGTATCGTGCGAAATTTA